GGGCGCCGCCCCCGGGTTGCAGCCAGCCCCAACCACAGCAGTGCCGGCGGCAGGTGAAGCGCTGCTGGTGTCGGCGCCGTCACCCTCTGCCCCTCTCCCCTCCAGGGGCGAAGAAGGTGACGAACAAGGCGACGCTGTGGTACGTGCCGCTGTCCCTCAAGAACGTGAACAAGGTCCTTGAGGTTCCCCCCATCCAGGTAGGACGGCTCGCTTTGCTCCCTCAAACCGGAACTCGCCCTCTCTGGGGGAACCACACCAACCCGGCCCCGCTGGCACCCCTGGCTGTGCCGGTGGCTTTGCCGGCCCCGTTCTTACCCGCTTTTCCTTCCAGTACGTGAGAAAGGAGCAGGAGGATGAGGGGAAGAAGCGTTATGAGGAGCAAAAGCTGGATCGGCTGGAAACTAAGCAGAGAAACGGCGACATGATCTTCCCCGTCATCAACCCAGGTAGCACAGGCAGCGCGTGGCCTGTGGAAACGTCCCAGCAGTGCTGGGAGGCCAAACTGGTCCCCGAGGCAACTCCAGCTGTCCCTGGGCACCCGCGGCTGCAAGCGCGTGCTCCGGAGGGCTGTGTCGGGGGGGGGGATGGGATTTTGGAGCTTTTGGAGCCGCGGAGGGGCTGGGTGGGTGAGTGTGATCCCTGCTGGGGCTGGTGGGGGGGATGCCCTCTTCCAAAACGCGGTTCCTGCCACCACTCCTGGCATCCCTCGTGCACTCCTGGGCAGCGGGAGCTAGTTTCACAGCGCAGGGTAAATGCAAGTGTTGGGTGAGGGGTCTGCACACCTTGCAGCAGCAGCCCCTCTCTGGAAGTCAGTTTTTAGCAAGAAGTTCACTGGCCGGTGTTTGAGCGTGTCTGATGCGCTAAGGGGAGGAGCTGGGGGTCACGCTCTCCCTGGGGGATCGTTGGTGATCCCTTTCCTACTGAAAGCATTGCCCCAGCTTCTGGAAACACGGTGGTGCAAGCTGACAGGGCGAACGGCCGTGGCCTGCAGGACCGGCCGTGCTCCTCGGGCAGAGAGGTGGCACAGGCGGGGTGTGCCGGGGGGGGT